GCTCTTTTCACCTCTGGGCTCCTGACAGCTTTTTTTTTAATCTAATGCCCCCCCCTCACCACCACCACCTTTTCTACTCAAGGTGGATTGATTTCTTAAAAACGGGTCTGAGCCTGGCTCATCTCTGTTCATAAAATGTTCCTTGACTTCTCAGTGTTTACCAAGAACTGTATAGATACTTTGCTCTGGAATTTAAGTGTTTGTGACCGGGCTTTAACTGGATTATTCTACTATATAAAACCAAATTATGTTATATCCTGTTATCTACAATAACAGAAATGTCTACACACTTGCCCAAGTTTCTGTTCCTTAACAAACTGCCCCCTGTCTTCTTCATAACTGCTGATAGAAATCCCATTTCTTCAAATCAAATTTGATCATTCACAGTCTTTATTGAATGGTACTGATTTGATACAATTGGATGAGAGTTGAAACTTTTTTGAAATTCGCAGCATTTTGCTTACCTCTCTGGTGGGATTTATTTCATTCTACATAGTTGTCCTGTGGTATACATACATTTGGGCTTAATCATGTTGACATCACCCACACTGCTTTAATACAGCTATAGCTAATTGGTCATTTGAACCTGAAAATGTTCAACAAATTTGGTTTGGTGCATTACTGAATGAACCTATCAACGTTAGGGTATGCTGGAACTTAACTCTTGGGCATTAAAAAAAAAAATCAGCCAGGTATGGTGGTACACACCCTAATCCCAATGACTTGGGAGGATGAGACAGGAGGATCACAAGTTCAAAACCAGCTTCAGCAAATTAGCAAGGCCCTAAGGGCTTAGTGAGATCCTATTTAAAAGAAAAGATTAAAATTTTTTTAAAAGGTAGGGGATGTGACTCAGTGGTTAACTGACCCTGGGTTCAATCCCCAGTACAAATAAATAAAATAAACAAACAAACAAAAGTAAAACAAAGTGACTCCAAACTACTTCTCAATCCCCTGTAAGACTATAACACAGTATTATATCAAAAAAGAGATATGGAAAAAAAAGCCTAACTTCACTCTGTCTTAACAAGCCAGGTCAACGTGCCAGGTACAGTGGCTCACACCAATAATCAGTGACTCCAGAGGTTGAGACAGAAGGATTTCAAGTTCAAGCAACTTACTGAGACCCTGTCTCAAAATAAAAAATAAAAGGGCTGGAGATGAGACGCCATGGTTAAGTACCCCTGCATTAGACCCCCCAAACAAACAAACAAACAAAAGGCCAGGTCAATGAAGAGTGAACAAATCATCTAAAGAGATATTGATAACCACACAGTGGCAGCCAGTGTTAAAATGCTAAGCTAAATTGTTTAACAGGCAGGATTTCATTGGTTCTTATAACCCTCTGAGGCAGATACAGATAATTCCACATTCTACTCTTGGGAAAAATGAAGCCAAAGAAAATATTCAAGTTTTCCCAGTTGGCCAAGATTAAGTATTATTTGAATGACAAAACTGAAATCTCAAACTAGAAGAATTTACCAGAAGATTATAGCTTACCTGTGCCTGCACCTTTAAAATGAACAGGCAGCACTATAAATGCCAATGGTCATTTACTTGCCAGGATCTCTCTCTCTCTCTCTGTGGTGCGAGGGATGGAATCCAGGAACCTGCACATGCTAGGCAAGCTAGCTCCACCAGTAAGCTACATTCCCAGCCCTCAAACTGCACTTTTAAACTAAGGAACAATTTTAGAGACCTAGTCAACTGTTATTACAGCAAAGCTGACCACTAGGTGGCAGGAGTAGAACGTGTCTTATAAATGAAAGTAGCATGACATTTCCCCAGTTCTTTTTGACAGGAATAAACCACCTGGTTAAACTGCTTATAATTTTCCAAAAGATGATTTTGTCATTTTTAGTGTGGCATGCTACAAATAAATAATTCTAAATATTACTCTTCCTTATTGAGAGTTCACTATAATTTTCATTATCAATAACAGCATAATACATGCAGATTTCAACCTTTGAACATTGAACAATAAACACTGCTTAAATTTGCTTTAAACTTATAACTAGAATCATATTTGCAATGAACAAAATACCAAGTAACACCACATGAATCAAAATATAGTAAAGACTAAAATTTAATTTTCTGTAATGCTATGAAATTTTTAAAAAACTGCTTTTAAAACCTGAAAGTTAGACTCCTTGGAGTTGGCAGTGTTTTATTTGTTCCACTTTGTTTTCTGTTTCTCAGTGTCAAAATTAAAGGCTTCAGGTCATAGTTTACAAGTACTTCTCTGTAAGTAATATTGATGATCCCCAATATATAAGATACAAATTGGGTAAACCATCAATATATTTTCTGTCTCTTTGTAGTGCTTGGGATTAAACTGAGGGCCTCAAGCATTACAGGCAAGTATCTACTACTGAGTTTCCATTCCCTATGTTTTTCTCTTTTTGACATTTTTGTTAAAAATTGAAGAGGGCCGGGTGTGGTGATACACACCTGTAATCCTAACAATGCAGGAGGATTACAAATTCAAGGCCAGCCTTGGCACCTTAGGGAGATCCTGTCTCAAAATAAAAAAATAAAAAGGGTTGGGGGATGTAGCTCAGTGGTAGAGCACCCCTAGATTATTACAATTCCCCTTATTGGGGCACTGTGGGGGAAGAGGGGCGTACAGGCGTAAAAGAAGAAGCTTAATATGCTACATAAGAATTTTGAGGACATGAATGCAATCTAAAAATACAATGAACATCTTGAGGCAAATCTATAGAATCATCAACATCTGAGCTTTCTAATAAACTGAATTTTAATACCAGTGTTTCTTTTACTTTCTGTCTTTGGTGATCCCTTGTGAGTAGAAATCAAATTACACTTAACTAATATCAGCAAATATACATGTGTAACTATACAGAATGGCCAAAATCACCCAGCAAGTAATGCTAATTTTTGCTTATCTTTATTTAATATATGCTCAAGGATGAAATCTTTTCTTTCTTTCTTTGTCTTTTCTTTTTATCTCAGTACTGGGGATTGAATCCTGGGGCAATCTACCACTGAACCAAGCCCCTTTAAAAAACTTTTTACTTTGAGACAAGGTTTCCTGATTAAGTTGTCCGAGCTGGCCTCAAACTTGTGATCCTCCTGCCTCAAGTTCCCAAGTTTCTGGGATTAGAGATGTGTGCCAACACACCCAGCAGGAATAAAATATTCAAACTATTTTTTTAACTAATTGTGGAAATGAAATAAAATCCCATCTTTAACACAAAGAACTCTCTAGACAAACAAGTTCTTTCTTAGGGAGGCAGGGCTCCAAATCATCAGTGGGGCAGAACAGGGTATCTAGTGGAAGAAATATTATACTTCACCTTACCCAAGGCTATAGTTGGATAATGAATGCCCCCCAAAGGTTCAATATAAAAGCTCGGTCCCAAGGTATTGGGAAATATAATGGACCTTTAAGGGGTGGGCTAGGCTAGTAGGAGGTCCTTAGAGCACTGGGCACATGCCCTAGAATGGAATTGTGGGACCCACTCATCTTTTCCCTGCTTTCTGGCTTCAGATGTCCCTGACACCTACTCCTGCCAGGATGTGGCATCCTTGCCGGAAGCCCAAAACATCAGGGTTGTCCAGTCTTAGACTTAAACCTCCAGAACCATGAGCCAAAATAACCTTCTCTTGACATCACAGTAGCCTAAGTCAAGTATTTTGTTATAGTCATTCAAAGCTGACTAACACACTCAGAAATGAATAAAAGTTTTGGTCAATTAAAAAAATCACAGCCAGCTGAACTGGAAGTCCTTCCCAAGGTTGGCAACTAGTTCTGTCTTACAACTGTTCCACAGGATTTTTTCAAAATATGCAAACGAGCAAATGGCCATCAATATGAGAGAGCTCTGAAATGCAGACTGGCCTTCAGGTCTCCATCGTAACCTAGAATCATACTATGAGGCAGCCTCACTTTTCTAGCTACCCAGGGATCCCCAGCACTAAGGATCCTTTAAGGTGATTTGGATCTCCTAAAAGTACTCTACAAAAATTCTACTTTGTGGGTTTTTCCAGAAGTTTCTATCATCTAGGTATCTCTGGATAACAAAGGTCAAAACTAGACAGTCCCACTGGCTGCTTGTGTATTTGCAAATCTAGGTGTTCATCTTCTAACAGTCAGACAAAACAGAGGTCTTCTCCAGAAATCAGAGGGAAAGAACAGTTTCTAGGGTTCCCCCACACCATGGCAAGCCAATTCATACTGTGAAATACTCTGATGATGTATGTGAAGAATTATTTGCAATATATACACACACGGATGCATTTCCCCATCTTTCAGTTATGCAAGGTAATGTTACAGAATGTACTTATAAAGTGAAAATTACAAAGTAAAGTAAAACTGTCTGGATGTGTGACAGAATGTGAAATGCCTGACAGTTGTTTATTAGCTGATTCAATTCATGAGATACTTTAAGTTCTAGTCTAAAAATAAGAACAATAACCATCATAAAAATCACTTTGAACAAACATCATCTGTGGGTTGACAGGTACTGAACTACATGTTTCTAATTCATTCCTAGAAAATAAAACAGACTTAGAACATGTAATGGTCTCCTAACACAAATAATATATTTATAAGAACTCTGTTGGAAAGGATATGGAAACAGTTTAAAATGTGAAAAAGAACTATTTGGGTAATAAAAATTGTTTCAAAAATGCAAAAAACAGAGAACACCTAATAGCCACATAGAACGTCCCTACCCCTGCAGACTCAGTAAAATGAATGGATGGTAAATATTGCCTCAAGGAATTTGATACATTAGCAATTCATTTCAAAAAAGAGATAGAAATTACTTCTGAACTTGGTAAAGAGCAAATTGACAACTCCCATCCCCACTAATAACTATGACATGATCAGCATAGGGCCACCAGTCACTATGACAGTTAAGGACTAAGAGCAACACCCCTGAATAGCATGGAAATCTCCGGCTGAGATGAAGACTGATAGTGGACAAGCACTCAGCAAGGCCACCTACAGGAGGGACCTCTACCTGGACCCTTACCTCTTCCTTATTTTCCTTGGGACTGGCTGTCCCACAAAGGCTCAGCTGAGGGTGGCTGCCACTACCACTTCCATTGCCACCTTCGTCACCACATGTGGTTTGCACCGAGTCCTGGAAGGACACAGGCCTTGGCTCTCTCTGAGTGGAATCTTCTGTCCTTTCTTCACTTTCCACTGAACTCAGTGACAATGCACTGAGACTGTTGGGACACTTGGTGCCTCCTGTCCCTGGGCTCTGAGGGCTCTGGGGCTTGGGCGAGGTGGGCCTGAGAGGGATGGGAGGCTGCCTGGGGTCAAATGTAAACTGGCTGCCTGCATTTGGCTCACTGGAGGTTTTGCTCAACACTTTCAAGTCAACTGGACTTGAGGGGCTGCTGGCAGAGGGACCATCACTTTCTGATGCCCGGGAGCTTTGGGCTTCAAGAGGGAACACTGCTGTGTCAACATCCAGGCGGGGCTCCTGAGAAGGGGTAGAGCTGAAGCCAGGAGCTGTGGGGCAGGACGCAGCAGCACTGTGCCCTGGCGACACGCCTCGCCTTCTGTCCTGCTCGGTGCTGCTGGACACGCGGCGTGAGTAGTCATCATGCAGTCTGCTGTGCAGCCGGAGTCTGAGGTTTGCCTCACTGGGGGAGGGGGCCCCATTCTTGGAACCCTCTCTCTTCCAGGCAGCATCAGTCACATTGCTCATAAGTTTTAAGACTCTGTCAAAGTCCTTGGCCCTTATGGGGCTCTTCCAGCGTTTCATCCTTCTCTCTGACCCACCAAGTTTTTCGGAGTCTGCAGATGAACTGCTCAGGGTCCGTTGGGGTGTTTGCTTTTCATTAGCCGCACGGAGGTCTGCAAGATTGGAGGTGGACTTTCGTTTGAAGGAACTTTTCTTCAGAAAGTTTAAGTTGTCTGTGCTCTTGCTCCTCCTGTAGATGATGCTGTTGTTTTCAGAGTCCTTCACTAGGATTTCACACAGGGTGGGCTCCTGAATGATGGGGGACAGAGGCCTAACATGGTTCTGAGGGGTGTGATGTTTCTCAGAATCCAGTAGATTGATGCGTCCCAGACCATAGGCCCTGCGGATGCTGCGGGAGCGGTGGGTACTCCTCTGGAAGGCATCGTCTGTGTCCTCGGGGTCAGAGCCATCGGATGTACCTCCTTCCCCTGCCCTGTGGGGGTCACATGACTGTCCCAACAAGGAACATCTGCTAGCATCAATTCCCACACCATTAGGGATTGCTTTTCCCAGGTCATGTTCTGATGCATCTTCCTTTGAGGCACCTAAGCCCTCCCGGTTCTGAATTCCTTGAAAGACAGACGACTTCAGTTTTTTAAAAGATCCCATTTTCCGGAAGGAGGCCAGTGCATTCCATGTTGAAGAATTCCCCATCAGGACCATGGAACGGGGCCTCTCAGGATTGGCACTCATTCTTTTCCGGCTCACAGCGAAAAGACGCACGAGTTTGGAAGGGCTGACTCTGGCTTCGGGGGCTTCAGTGTCACTGCTGGGGCTGCTCCTACAGCTTCCATTCTGACATGCCGGGACAGTCACCATTCTGGGGTCCTTTGGATCTGAGGCTGAACAGGTGGCTGCAACACCTTGCCCATGGCCATTCTGAGCTGTTGTCATGTTCTTGGGGCAGGGCACCCGTGGCCACAATGCAGTATGCTTCAGACCCACATAGACATCTGTGTCCATAGGTCCCAGCTCCAGACCTTCATCTCCAGGGCCACCAGCCTGGCTTTCATAACTACTGTGTTCATGGGTCTCTGCAGAGGTGGCCACTGCCTGCAGCAGAAAAGAAAGCAGTTAGCCATCTTGCCCACAGAGGAGCCTTTATAATCAGGGTCTAATTACTATGCTTAACAATTGCTAATAGAAAAAAAAGAAAGGCAAGTCCCACGATCAAACAAGAACTGCTTCTAAATTAAAGTTGTATTTTTCTTTTTTTTTTTCAATTCATTTCATAATAAATCAAGGCAAGAATGCAAACATATAGTCCTAAAAAAGAAAAAGATAGTTATGGGTTGGAAGAACTCCTGTATTGCTGAAACCTATTTAAGTAAAAGGTTTTTTTTTAAAACTGCTGGAATGAACATGTCAAGGCAATAATCAAAATTGTGTCTTCTCTTTATTTGAACTGAGTCTTTTGTTATCAAATACTAAAAACAAAAACAAAGACAAAACTATTTCAAAATGTGTCACACTGAAATGCCAGCTAGCCTGTGTTAAATGCAATGCAGTCAATACACAAGCAGAGTTCATGGAATACTGCTGCTCAGAGTATGATGGTGACCAGGATGCTCTTGGCTACTTCCTGTCTAAAGAGGGCTGTAAAGCACCAGGAAAGTGAGAGCTTCACAAAGCTACATGGACACATGGGTAGGAGGGACCAAACCAAGGAAGCATGAGGAAAGGCTTTGTAAAGAAAACACAGTTAGCAAAGAGACTTTTCAACAGATTCTAACTGGCCATAAAATGAAGAGATGTGGGGCGGAGCCTGGAGTATTAAAAATTCAGACCTAAGAATTCAAATTAAACAAATACTGTACCCTCTTCCCTAATCTCACATGCCCAGACAACTGTACATACCTGGCCCATGCACTTCCCCACACATGCACTTGTCTCCACACTCCCCCCACGTGTCCATGCCCTCCTTGCCCCACCAAAGTGAAATCTATGCTACCCTTAATCTTCCCCCCTCATCAGGCGAGATCTGTCGAGTTTCCATAGGATAGCTTAAAAACATCACAGCCTGCACATTCTGAATAAATCATTAGTGAATGAATGACAGATAATAACTACAAGAGACTACCATTTAGTTAGTACTCATTACATGTCTGTATCCTATGCTAAGGTCTTGAAAAACTTGATGCCACTGAGTACTCAGGCAAATCTCAAAGAGTTCGACATGATGATTTCCACTTTATATTTTTTGCGCTACTGAGGATTGAACCCAGGGCTTTACACATGCTAGACAAATACTCTATCACTAATCTACATCACTAGTCCTTTTATTTTATTTTGAAACAGGGTCTCACAAGGTTTCTCAGGCTGGCCTTGAAATTGCAATCCTCCTGCCTCAGACTCTTAAGTAACTGGGATTATGTGCCACCATCCTGAGCCATGATTTCTACTTTACAGACAATCAAATGGACTCTTGGGAAGGTCAGGCCATTTGAATGGGGGTCCTGCAGCTGCCTCTCCAGTGCCTATGCTGTTCTCCACTGCACTAAACTAATGAGCAGAGACAGAGGCACAGCAGGGATTTGCACCCCAAGCATCTGTCTTCAGTTCCATCATGTCATGACCCTGACAAATCAAGTTCCAACAATCTTTACAGGCCTGTCAAGGACATTACCCCCAAGGCAGGAGGGAAGAAGTAAGAGGAAGTTGTAGAAAGACCTTGAGATTAGATCTCCAAGTAGCTTACTCTTCACAAGTGCAGAATTTGACCTCCAGAAAAGTACGTGTCCTCTATGTCCTACCTTCTTGGTGAGTTTTTTACTGGCCCCTGCCTACTATTCAGTGAGGAGGATTCCCAGGGAGAGCCATGGTTAAAGGGTTAAAGGGTTGATTCCATCTGAGACCAGGGAGGCTACACTGACAGCCAGCATCAGCCAATACACTAATCTAAAGACTGATGGGCTACTAAATGCCCTCTGCAGTTTTAATGTTCTAATGGAGACATGAGGGGGATCTGAAGGGCTGTGGACTGCATTTGAATGAGTCAAACAGGCAAAGTCTAGAATCATCTCCACACTGAGACTGGATGTGAAATTTGTGACAAGTTCCAAAATAAGTCCTACATTCAGTATCACCTGTCTATCCTCACCAACTCTGTCCAACTATTCACCTCTATCCTCACCTATTCTGGGAGGGATAGGGGACTGTGGTTGTTTCAACATTTCAAAATGCTGAAATGTACCAAATAGTTTAATTGAATATTCAAATCCAGTTCACAGGCGCTGATTGGCTACGCTTGAAGTTGGAAAGGTCTAATTATGACTTGCACTAGACACACAGTGTAGCCAAAAGCTTGGTCCTCATCCTTGATGCCAATCCAATAAGGAAGACATGGTCTTGATAAAAAGAAAAAAAAAAAAGGTTTATTGCTTTGCTAGCAAAGGAGAAACACAGAGGACTCCTGTCCCAAAGGCTGTGGTTCTGCTCATCCTCAGTAACAGGGGGTTTTATAGAGGTGATTCAGAGAAAATGAGATTAAGGACAAAGATCAGAAAGGAGAAGTTTAGGGAAAAGAAGATCAGGGAGAAGAAGTTTAAGGAAAAGAAGATTGCGAAAAAGAAAAAGCATGTAGCTTTCAAAGCCACAAGGAATATAGTCAAAGCATCAAGTGAACAACCCCTGTTACAACAGGACAAGGCATGATTCCTGCCACATAATTCAACTGGACAACTACAGATACCACAAGTAGAAGGTATAGGAGAACTTCTGGAACCAAGAAGGACAGCTGCCTTGAGCTGACCCTAAGGGTTCAAGGCCTGCAGAAAAGCACTTGATATATAAGTAGAATAACATAGTCAGAAGCACAGCTCCCTATAATGAAATAGTGGATATTAAGAGGAAAATGGGTTTAGAAAAGTCTAAAACCTAATCATTCTTTGAGACCAACTGTAGGTGTAACTTTCTTTGGAATTCCTTCCCTGAAATAAGATTCCTTACTCTGTATTCCATAGGGTCTAAATTGTATCACCCAAACACTATAACAATAGTTTAACATGGCTGCCTTTAGATTAAGACTGTATACTCAGAGCACAAGAACTGGATCCCTTGAACTTAGCTTTTTGTTTATTTGTTTGTTTTTTGTCTTGGCAGTACAGGAAACTGAACATGGATATGCTACCACTGAGCTATATCCCCATGCCTGTTTATTTTTTATTTTGAGACACAGTCTCACTAAATTTCTGAGGCTGGCCTCCAATTTGCAATCCTTCTGCCTCAGCCTCCTGAGGAGGCTGGGATTACAGGTGTGCGCCACCATGCCCAGGAATTTTTTTTTTTTAATCTTGATGTGAAATTGCATGTTATCCTGCCTGTGCCAAGGTAACAAATCATCATTACATACCATTACATTTTTTTATAGTGAAGATGCTTACATTTTATAACACTAATAAGTATTTACTTAAAACTTACTTAAGCTTTAGAATTCAGAATCTGTTAAAAAAATATGCAGAAAACCTGAGCTTCTAAATTGGGGGAACATGCTTTTTAGAAGACTAATTACTTACTATTTTGCTCATGAGCGGAACAATGGGATTGTTGTATACTGCTTAGAATGAAACTGAAAACTGTGGGAAAAGACTTTTCCTGGAATTTCTGAGTAACATACCAAGTTGCATTATTTAGAACTAATACTTTGACCTCTATTAGCTAACAAGGGTTGCAATTCAATTAGTGGTTTTATACCAAGTCTTATAAATCGTGGGAGCTCTTCCAGAGATGTTTATGAACAGAACTACAAGAAAGAATGTTAGATGGGAATATTGTGAAATCCAATTGACTACAAGCTGGATTCTGGGTTGCATGAACTTCAGAATAGAAGTTTCTTCCCAGTCATAATGAGAAATCTCTAAAAACAACTATGACCAGCAAATTTAAATTATAACTTACATTTGAAATCCAGGAATGTAACCAGGTTACGTGAGCAAGTAAGAAGATTTCTGTAATTGTTGACCTAAATTACAGAAAAAAGTGACACCAGAAGAAAACACATTGAATTCTTACTGGCTAAAGGAGTGAAGGTATGGATCCCTGAATCACAGTACTAGAGAATATTGCCTTAGGGAATATCTAACCCCTATTTAGAGATTGGGACTTAAGGGACTGAGTAATTTACAAGTACTCATCCTCCCAGTTTCACTTTCTGTATTTTCAACTACATTCAGACAAAAAGCAATCCAAAAATATTAAATGGAATATTTCAAAGTAAACAATACATAGGTTTTACATCACATTTTTGTGTGTGTGTATCGGGATGAATTCTCGTACAGTCCTGCTCTATCCTGGCCAGGCCATGAGTCATCTCCTTGTCCAGTGTATCCATGCTGTATACAGTACCTACCCATTAATCACTTAGTAGCCATGTTAGTTATCTGGTCAACTGTTGTAGTGCTATGTACAATTAACTCTTATTTTACTTAATAAGGCCTCAAAGCACAAGAGTAGCGATGCTAGCAATTCAAACATGCCAAAGAGGAGATGCAAAGCACTTTAATTATGTAAAAAAAAAATGAAAATTTATCGTAGGCATGTCTATATAGAAAAAATACTTTTTTGTGTGTGGTACCTGGGATTGAACCCAGGGGTATCTAACCACAGAGCCATATCCCCAGCCCTTTTTTAAATACGTATTTTATTTACAGACAGGGTTACTTGAGGCCTTGCTAAGATGCTGAGGCTGGCTTTGAACTCATGTGCTGAGAGCCATAGCCAAGTAGGAATGACACATGGCAATTTCCTTGTCAGCCTACCCAATGTTGCTTAGAGGGAGGACTCTCCATTGTGAAAATGGGCTTGCCTTGGACCCAGGTCATTTGCAGTGACATTCCATGAAAGGTGACCTTGCTCAGGGATTAGGGCAGATCCAGGTTTAGGGTGGATCCGGGTTTAAGGTGGATCCTGCTGGGAATAGGGCGTATCCTGCTGCCTCAGGCGCCCCCTCCTTGAATTCCCGTTGAGTTCTCGCGGGATTCAGAGGGTATTTTGGTACGCAGGGCCCGGTGGAGGTAGTGGATTTTCCCAGAACGTGTGTGTAGAGTGCCGGTGAG